GTTCAGACTGGCCACAGAAGTTTTGGAATTACTAGAACAGTTTGTTGGACCATAGTCACTGTCTTTGTGACTGCATAACACTCTAGATACTGTTGAAATGTAACTGCTTTACTTTAGGCATCGGGATCTTAAAAATAATTGGAAACATTTAAGGTAGCTAAATGGAAGGACACTACTAGCGCATCTTTATCTCAGCATGACGCTAAATTTTGGCCAAAGTGGACTAATGTTGCTTAACATGATTTAAATATTCAACTGAAGAGAAATTGGCGATTTGTAGATAAAATTAGTTAGTAGCATCCTAGTTGTTTTGTATTTCAAATTTTTAACCAGTAATAATTTACTGTAGTGACAAGGCTCTCTTCATAAAGGGTTTCATAAGGTAACGAACAATAAGTTTATATCAATTTTTGACTGTTTTTTTACAATTCACGCTGGTTATCCGTGATGCATGATGTTGCTTACAAAAAAGAAAAAATCTTGCATTGCTAATTTGAGTTTGTGTCTCCGTAAAACGAACAATAACAAAACTACCTCATAAGAAGACCTAGACCTTTCTAAGAGTTCTTAATATTTTGTAGTTTGCTGAAGTGATAGGAACACATTCGTATGTTTTTGCTATAGCAGATAACCATAAAGAATCGTTGCATACATTTTTTCTCGTCAAGGGAAAATGTTTTCAAGTCTATATTTACTAGAATTTGTTTTAAATATTAACATTGAATTATCAAGAGACCAAAAGGTGATTCTTTGTAGTTTAGAGTAATATGAAGAAATTTGTAATATTCTAATAACCCATTAAATGGAAGGAAATAATTCGAGAAATAAGATTGTTCGCTTGAAAAATTACCGCATAGTATTCTGCTAGTAACGTGCCTTCCTTTCCTTTGAAAGTTATAAGTGCTGTTTCTTCACTTCATCATAAACTGGTAAGTATTGAGAGAACCATTCTATGAGCTTTGTTTTCTTGGAATTGGACAGAAGGGAGGGGCTCATTTGTGTTGAAGCCTAGGTTGTGTCTCCAAGCGCAGGTAACTCATCCTCAAATATTTTTTGCTACGACTTGCCGCTCACATTCTTCTTTGAGTAAAGGAAAAAATTCTAACTTGGACCTGAGCAAAACGGGGTAAAACAGATGGAATTCATCAGTTAAAGCAGTAAGCTTTAACAAGTTCATGATCACAGGAATAAAAGTGACACCACTTCTGTTATGCCACAATAAACAGTACTATACTTAGCAAAAAAAATCCTTTCATTCTGATATTTGATTACTAATTCACTGCAAAGGCTTAACGAATGATTTTCAAGTTGCAAGGATAAAGCTGATTGAAAGTAACTGGACTGAGTGGAATACCAAACTGGGAAAAATAATCCATCTAGAAATTTGTCTTTTACTGTGGTAGACTTGACTAAAAGTGAGTTTGGGGCAACAACCAAAGAGAAAATTTGGGCCTAACCATAGAGCATGATATGGTTTATTTGGAATTGTACAAGTGTTGATTAAGACCATTTGGAACACATGAGAAGAGGAATAAAGTTCTGAGAACACAATACTTAGAAACAACACCAATCTGTGGTAAGAATTTCTACAGTGCACCACAATAAAACACAGCACAGAGTAGACTTCTTTCACCTTAAACCCATTTTCTTATCTAGGACAATTGCTTTTCACTTCCTACCCAAGGTAATGCTAGTCTACACACTCTGGAATGTTATCAAAGGAGAAAATTACTGAGAAAACGCAGTTCAACACTTCCGATGGTTTTACTTTCCAAGCTACCCGTTGAAGGTCCAACTTGTGGTTGGGTATTCCCTGAAAGCCTGAACACCATATCATTTAGTTTTTGGCAAATCCCTGACCAACTTTAGACAACCAAAACCACCCCTCAACATTCAAAGCTTGTTTGCAAAAGTAACACAGCTTCATAAAAAGTTATTTTTCTTTTGATAAAATTGACCTCACAAACATAAACATAGCTTCCCTCTACATTCCCCTGGCGGACCTTGAGGGAACATGATAGATTTAAGCTTACCCTTTAACTCCCATGATTGACCAAGACAGAATTTCTCCTTACAATATCAATACAATATCAACTAGATAAGAATAAAGAAAAACATTAACTTTGGAATAATTAATTGATCCAATACTAAATTCTCTTGGTCATTATATTGGTCATAGGTTCAAATTACGTACAGACCTAAATTTTTTTTAGGCCTTATTTTCACTACTGCTTGAGTAGTGTTCATTACTGCAAAGATCGCTTTCATATTCATGTCTTTATCCTCAGTTCACATATATGATTTTCATATATTCACAGTCATTTACTATCAAAAGTATTTAACAGAAACATCTCATTATTTGCTGGATGTCATCACATGAACAGAGTATTAGAAAAATTTTATCTGTTCATGCTATGATATCCAGGAAATAATCAGATCCTATATCTCTGAGCATGCATTAAGAACATCTGAACTAATACCTCACAAGAGGAACAAATGCAATGGCGGGCAAAATAACCCAACAAGAGCAAAATTCAAAAGATATTTTATTAGTTAACAAAACATGATGACTTGTTCCTTCTGCCTTTTTGATAGAAAGTGATGTTTATAAAAACTTGTGAAATGAATGACATTCCCAAAACATTCAAGGAGGCACACAGATATATGTTTCTAGGGCTTGCAGAATGGCAGTAAGTTACCAATACCTACATATGATCAGTATAGTTGGTTATTATTACATCGTCTTTTCAAAAGAGAAAATTCTACATAGTTCCTCAGTTTGTCTCTGTATTAACTTCTTCCTCAGTCAACACAGTGGTACTATCAATTTCAACTTACATAATGTTTTCTTTGGAGTGAATAAAAGTAATGAAGAAGAACATTGGTTGTTAGTTAAACTCTAAAAAAAGGCAAAGCTTAAAAGGGAAATTGATCAAAGTTAAGAATATATAACTTTTGACAAAAATTTATTGAAAGTGATTTCAATCTGATTTCCAGAAAGACCTTTCTTTCAGACCTGTTTGTCATATGGAATAAGCTTAGGAGTGAAAGTATTGGTGAAAATGGAAAGTCTACAATTAAGAGGTTGACTGTGCAGTCTGATTGAGGGTTGGTCTAATAAACACCAGGGTTAATCACAGTTTGTGAAGCAAACATTCCCCCAACTGATAACAAAGAGAATGATCAGGTACCCCCACCTCCACCTCTAGAGGCAGGAATTTTCTCTCATTCCAAGGGAATGAAGTCTCTTTCCAACAGCACAAAGGCATTCTCAGTTTTTTTTTTACCTCTGTGTCTTCCAACTGGTTTTTTTGACAGCAAAAAATTTTAACTATTTTGTCTCCTTGACAAAAGCTTCTGCAAACACTGGTAGATTTCTGTAATTTCTCAGCAGCTCACTGTTGAAATAATACACAGAGAAGGAAAAGCTTCAGGTGCTTTGCAAACCCTAAAATGTGCATGGGGTATGTTTTTTATTATCAAAGAAATCTCAATAAAAGGATCCATGTTGCAGAGGCCATATGCACCATTTCTGCACACAGTAAAGCCCATAAGCACAGTCTATTATACTCATGCTTCATGAAAATTTGATAAACCTACCCTGAGGGGAGTGTATATAAGAATAGCAGGTTAGGAATGTGAAGCACATACACTCCCTAATACCTCTGGAAATCTAAAAAAAGCATATCCTTATACCCAGTTTATTTGCAGAAATAAGCTGATGTGACTGACCTCACTTGTCCTCTTTTGTTTTTGCCAAGCATGCAAAAAATGCCCAAGGTACAAACCTCTATACAGTTCATGCTTATTTCAGAAAATCACTTTGTCTTGTGTTTCTTATTCATAGCCAAAGAGATTGTTTCATTCGGCATACCCTCTTAAGGGTCAAATGACAGAAAAAGCACTATGTCTGGAACTGATTATGTATACAGAAAGAATCTAAGTGATAAGGAAATTTTGCTGTTTTGATTTACTAAACTTTTCCCTGTTCTTCTGAACCCCTAAAATAAAATATTATTGATTAAATCACTCTTGCCCCATGCCCCTTCATCCCTTTTGCACTCAAAACATCTTTATTTTGTTCTTCAATGTTGACCTCAAGAAAAAAGCACCCTATGCCCCTTTAAAACCATAAGCTACTTAGGAATGGTTGAAAAATACAGGGTAGTTAGACTGTTTGGTTACTAACTCCAAGTGTTACTGAGTAAGTACTTACCATTTTTCGGTGTATTGGGTTTTACACTTAATTAAAAGTTCCTTCTGCTCTTCACAGCTCATTTCTATCCCAGGTATCTTGTCTAACAATGCTCTGCAGTGTTGCAACTTTGCACGGAAACCATTAACCTAAAACAACATTTAGAACAAGGTACTTATGACATGAAGTGTGATTGGGCAATTTTTTTCCTTGTAAATCATGATATGATTTTTTTTTATTTGCAAATCCTAATTAGAGATCTTTTAATGTGAATGAATTCTTTCATTTTATATGACCTACAATTAAGAGCTGAATTAAACTTGGTTTGTAAACCATTTTGTTTTGCATGATGAATTTCTGGCTATTTCATTGTTTGAAAAATATATTTATTGTCCTTGAACAGCTGTGGTTTCATTTTGACCAAGGTTTTGACAGGATATGTATTTCATGGGGACAAATAAAAGGCATAAAATAGAACATTCATGGTTCTTGAAAAAATAAGATAAGATATTACATCATCTTTTGTTGCATCAAAAAGGTGAAAACCTACATACAATTTTCCAATTCCAATGATTTTCTTGGGGCACTAGTCAGTTGAATGTGTATCAAGCAGTCACCCACAAGGGGTGGGGGTAAAGGGTTGATACTGGTTCCCCAGAATAAGGGTATGCTAGAAAAAAAAAGCCATTCTGTGCCCTAAGTGACCACTATGGTACAAAAACTCTCTCAAAAATGCTACTAACACTGATTTCGGTAGGTAAACATGGATTGAATTTTATTTGAAAGATTATTCTTAGTTTTATTTGAATGGTTCTGCTTGTAGTGACCGTCGAATATAGGTGGAGAACAATCCTCGCAGCTATGAACACTACTGAACTAGTGGGGAACATTATAAACAGGCCGTTGGGAATCAGTTAAGGGATTTTAAGAGGTGACCGCGTAATAGAGGTAAAAATTACAGTAATTGAGGGGGACAAATTTCGGGTCTCTGACAATCGACCGCTTATTACGGTGCCGCTTCATACAGGTTCGACTGTAGTTAGTGCTTTCAATCAAGACTGAGTATTTCACTTGAATACAGTAAGACGAATATCTCTCGAAACTGAAATAGAAAACAGAGAGATACCTTCTTTGTAAACTCCTGGGGATCGTTTGTCTTCTGCAGTGCCTGAATCGTTTCGAATATTATCGGGAGAAGATTAAACTCCTTCGCTACATCGATTTCTTCAGATTCACTGGCAGCCATATTGACCACAGCTGTCATTCCCAGTCCACTACACGAAACAGGCGATTTGATTGGTCAGCAAAACACAGGCTACTTACAACCATGTACTCTTTTGCAATTTGAACAGACTAACCAAGAATTTCCCTTGAAGATGTAAGTGTGAACTGTGTATAGTTATGGTGCTTCGCACTAAAAAAAAAGGCTTTGAAATATGCACAGGTTGGCATCTCTCGATAAACTTGCTTGTGAGGAAATGATAGTATACAACTTACAAGCTCTTCTCATGAAGAAGAGCAGTCATTTTCTGAAATGGGAATAAGAGTTTATGGTGTAAAGATTGGCAAAGTTAAAATTATTGCTGCCTCTGTCAGACAAAAGAGGGCACCACCTTGGAATTCCTTTTCAAGTGCTATGCTGTTTGGATGTGTCATTGCTGTTGATCAAGGGTGACCTCACATTACAGGTCTTTGATACATTGTTTCCTGCATGGTCTCAGTCTCATTCGCTCTTTAACCCTCTAACTATCTGAAGTGATTAACATGTAACTTCTCCCTATAATATCAAACTTTATCCAGCAAACAGGTAATGAGAATAATTAAACTTATCAGGTAGAAGTTGGTATCTAAGTTTGGATCTAACACCAAATTCTTGAAACTGATATCCAAGAAAACATGTAGCAGCTACAGGGGAGAATTAACAATTGGCTCTTGGGATTTAACAGATTAAATTCAAATTTCACATTGTCTCATAGATGGTTTCATAGTCTCACATGCCCTTCAACCTTTAATTCCCAGAAGTGATTATCACACGTAACTTCTCCCCAGTATCCAAATATTATCCAACAAACAGGTAATGAGAACACTCAAATTGATCAGATAGAAGTTATTATCTTGATCTCAAACCAACTCCTCATAACTAAATCACAAGGAAATGTGTCACAGATAAAGGAGAGAATCAATAATGAGATCTTAGGAGTTAAAGGGGTTAATTTGTGTTGGTCTAATACTACAAGCACATTTAAGTTTCCGAATCCACTGGCTCCAATGTCATCATGATATACTTTACATTGTACATCAACCCCTTAAATGAAACGCTTAAAGTTAACCCTTAATTTGTGTCAGTAAATATTTAGCTTGCTATCATTTCAAACATGTCCTCTTGAAGTAAAAGTTCAATGATGAGTTTGCATCAAAGCAGTAACCTCTCCTAACAAACCAGGTCTTCAAGCATTGTTAGAAACTCCTTTATGTTTAATATCTCTCTTTTTCTGTTTTGTTCATCCGAGATCACAAAGTATAGCCATTAAATGGAGTGGACTTTCTTTCTACAACTTGGACTGGAAAATGCAAACAAAAATACATTTGGAGTAACCTCACCATTCCTTAGCACATATTCACCTCGCGTACTTTGTTTATGAAAATGCTCGATTTTTAAGACATGCATGAAAAATTAATACTGTTATTTACGAAAATTTGAAACTACTTCCTGCTTAATCGGCTGAATAAAAAATCCGCGAGGACACCTCCCAAGTAAGTGACGAATGCGAATAACTTGCCCGTTACCATATATAATCTTCTCATCAAAGATCAAACATTCCGAACAACAATAATATCAGTCCTTTAATACAATGAAGTCAGTAAAATACAATGATCCATTATGTAGGTTTACCTCAATTCTCTCTCGATGCAACCTGAAGAAGCTTAAATGTAGAATAATTGAAATTATTTATTTCTAGCAAGATTTACAAGTACGTGATATTTCTCAATTGAAAAGCTTCGATCAACCGTGGGGTAGGAACAAATTCACTCTAAACAGTCTACTTACACATTCACTTGCGTTCGTTATTACAGAGAATACACTGAGAGAAATTGCTTTACCTCCTTAGGTGGCACATCCACCCATTACAACAATAAATCACGAAACGGCAAAACCACGGGTCGTCGGTAAACGTTTCCCGACTCTCTTTCATTTTCCATTATTATTTGGGGGAAGATTGAAGATCAAAGTGTATTCGCTTTCCCAAAATGAAGAGATCGCGAGTGATCAGTTCCAATAATGGCACAATCACAGTGTTTAAGGCCATAAAATACCACGGGAAAAGCTGCAGTGAATAAGACTCGTAGAGGAAACAAAAGGTCACATCGAGTGATATACCCAAACTGTCTATTGAACTTGCAACTCAATTGGACTTTAATGCGCGGGGCTTTGTATGTATAACTGTTCTAAATCAAAGTACAAGAGCTCCTTTCTTTGAACGGGTTTTGGTTCCCGGGGACTCCCGTAACAAGCGGATCTTCTCGCTGAATTTTCTCCACGTAGGTTTTCAGTTCGTTTGCCGCCTCCGACACTTTGATGCGATTAACTTTCAGTTCTGTTCTAAGTTGATCCACGGTGATTCTCTGAATTCTGAGGGTTTCTGTTGTTGTAGCGTAGGACATTGCTGCAAGGATTGATCACCAGAACTTGCTCGCTTGGTAACTGAAACTTCTGATCTTCTTGGTCTTTCGCTTCCGAATTTCCACTGAAACCTTCTAATCTTGTCAATGTGAAATACAAGCCGCAAGTGAGAAGGGTGAGGTCCCTTCCGAGCATGGGCAGTAGGGTAACACGACTCAAAACGCTTATTTACGCTCATGTCCGGAGCTTGTCGACGATTCCGATCATTGTACTCGGACGTTGGATGTGAAAAATGCTCTTTTTCAAGCTGAGTCATGAATTTTCTTTGTTATTTTCTGATATTTTGAAGGGAGTTTTTAAAAAGTGTTTATGCTTGAGGATTATCTTGTAAATCTGTTTAAGTTTCACTGAGCCTCTGTGGGCTTTATTTCAAATTTTTTAAATTCAATTTTCTATTTTCTAATGTGCATGTTCTAATTCTCTAAAAATTTGATGAGGGAAGCCATATTCCCCTCCTGGCCCTGGTCCTGTGCATTTATCATCATCCCAACTTAAATCTCGGAACAGGCAATGTCTCAGATAAACAGTGCACAGATTTGCTTAAAAAAAAAACAGGACCAAGCCTCTTTCATAGGTGATTAATTAGTGAACAAATCAAGCAATCATTTCTGTGTGGCTCGCAACAACTGGAGGCGATCTTGACTCTTTCATTTCCCAAAGTCACCAAAAACCTACACAGTCTCTATTAGTAAGATAATTTGTCGGAAAAGAAGTTTATACTAATGGATGATTTTAGTTTTATTCAACACTGAATTTGCAATGCTAACACAGTAAGTAATGAAAACTTATCTGTAAAAAAAAAAAATTATATATGGATCTTACAAGTGATGGGGTTGACAATAAAAAAGTTAACTCCACCATATCATTTCATCCTATCCCTTGATCCAAGCCTCTAATGCAGTAAGCAAAAAAAAGAAAAAAACATAAACAAAAACAAGGCTGTCAAATAAGTCCATTCCATATAACACTTTTTAATTTCCCTTTTGACAGCCTAACAAAGTGTCTACATTGCAAAAATTTTGGTTTGAATCTTAATAAGACAATATACAACAAATAAGATATAACAATACTATGCCATGACTTGCAGAAATATTTTCTCCTTGAATGCTGTTATGCCACAGAAATAAATACATAAATCTTTTTATTTTCTTGTAGAGAGCCCTGTCAGTTTTTCACACTCTGCAAAACATACCCTAACATGAAGCATGCTGAAAATATTATCTGAACAAAAAGGAAAAAAAAAACAAGCGTTGGTATCATATTTTTTTTCATGGTTATTTTGATCTTGTGGTAATAACATATCATAAGCACTCACTATCTCATGATGAAATTGAACCTGTCCAGCATTGCCCCCTTAAAATAATTAAGCTCATTTCACAATTTTGTTTCTGATGGCCCATTAGGGGAAAAAAGAAATGTATTGAAAAAAATTAAAAGCTACATGCCGTATACGTAAGTAAATATTAAAATATTTCTAAGATAATCAATTCAATCTACCTTCACGGAATGTTGGCTCGAGATACATTTCAGTTTCACTCAAACATCGGTTACACACAGTGATACCCATATTGATGAAAAGTTATCTGGATATCATCCCAACTGGTCATACAAGAATTAAACTCAAATAATGTCAAAATGGCTGCACGTTGCTGGACAGATGTTCTTTGTTTACGAAGAGGTCATCTTGGCCACATTTCGCATCCCAGTTCGAAATACTGTTCATGCTAATAAATTTCCAACACGAAACTCGGATGAGAAGCAAAGCGGTTTATATATGTGTTGATTAAATAAAAGATTACGATTCCAAGAGTCAAAAATTTCTCAGCAAAAATCAGTCTTTAAGGTAGTCGAAGTCGCGGCAGATCTGCTGTAAACAGTCGAGAAGCAAACCACAGAGAGAATGTCTATGTTTGCAGTGTCATGTTAAAATTAAACTATCGCCGTAACCATTTGCATCTTTCCAAACGCAAATACAATCCAAAAAACTTTGAAAATAATCCAAGCCAAGGACAGTTTTTTGGGGGCTAAAATAAAAGGCAGGAAGACTTCTCCTTGTAAGGATTCACCGAGCTAGACACTCCCGTAACGAGCGGATCGGACTGAAGATTTTGCTCGACATATTTAGCGAGAGCAGCTGCAGTGGTCGAAATCGGCGTTCGTTCCATGTCTGCTTCGGCTCGTAGCTGGTCTACGTAGATTTTACTGACACTTGCTGGAGAAGCCATAATAATCTTGCTTCTGACGGCAACAGATTTCTTAGATCAACTCTGCGAATGATTCCGAAGGCACAAGTTTCGCGAAACCACAAAGCCCCAGAAAACGATCATGCATTAGTCATGACTTTGTAGCCACCCTTTGGATACTCTTCGGGGTAGGGATAGTGAATTCCCTTAATAGCCTTTCGCTTGTTTGTTCTTTGTAAAGGCGCTTACAAGCTAAAAGGGTTTTGTCTTAATTCTAAATATCAACATTACTGTTAAATAGAGGTCAAAACCTCGATTCCTTACCTTTTGAACTTTTTTTTATGGAAGAAAGAAAAAAAAAAAAAAAAAAAATTTACTAGCTCACCCGTCCCTCAAAAGATTGAAGGAGAGAACTCGCACCAGTCGGTTCGCAGTATATTGGTCTAAGTACTATCACTTCCCTCTAATTGCGCTTGTTGAACAACTTCAGCAGCGGGTTCTTATTCTTTTCCTCGATAATCATTCAATCATGTCTAAAAGACCAGGAAATGAAAATGGCGAAGAAGCTGTAACCAAGAAGAACAATCCTCAGTTAGGTGATCCTCTAAATATGCTGAAATGGATCGACGAAAACAAGAGTTCCTTTCTCCCGCCAGTATGCAACAAATTAATGTGAGTAAACTATCCACAAACTCTGCCAATTTCGAATGAATTGTTTTCATCCTAGAGTCTTGACGTATTTATTTTACTCACTATTTAAAAAACACAAGAACATAACTAGAAAACTCCATGAAGGTCACTTGTTTTGAAACGTCCCTATTTCTTACTAGTTGATAAAACTTGTGTTATGTATTGCACGCTCTTTCAAGGTTACGCCTAACTAAGTACGGTTGAAAATTTCGATACCCTTAGATGAATATTTCAAAACTCGCGAGGTTGCTTAAAAAAACATTCAGAATTCAGGCAAGAAATTTATTTTTACAAATATGTCCAATGTATGCGTTAGAATTTAATTTTGTGATGGTTCTTTAAGGGTGCAATATCTTGCAATATCAGAAAGATTGCGTACATTCCGTGCAGTTTAATGGTATAGCACCTTTTGTGAACGCAAGGGGCACAATATCGTTGGACTATCAATCACTTATTTCACTAATCAAGGAGTAATTAAATTATTGTTAATTATTTAACACCTTCACTCTAATTAATTCATCTGGAACTTATTTTAAAAGCCATTGTTTTTTCATTGAAAACGTAGAGCCCTTAATTTTTTCACTATTGTAATAGTGGCCTGTCTGCAAGGAAGCATGCAATTGTTATTTTGATTTATCTAGACAGTAAATTATCTTTAAAAAAAAAAGTATCTTAAAAATGTTTTTTCATTGAAAATGTGAAGCCCATAATTTTTTACAATTGTAATGATGGCCTGTCTGAAGGGAAGCTTTCAATTGTTATTTTGATTTATCCAGACAGTAAATTATCTTAAAAATGTCCCTAATATACTCAGAACAAGATGTACCGTTTCTTATTGGGGGCTGACTAATCAGAAGATGTTAATTAACCTTTTAACTCCCATGAGTGACCAAGACAGAATTTCTCCTCACAATATCAATACAAATCAAGCAGACAAGTGTTGAGAATAAAGAAAAATATCAATTAGGGGGTTATGAATTGATCCAATCCCAAATTCTCTAAACTAACATCACATGCACTGTATAGCAGACAGTAAGGAGAATTACTGATGAGATCTTGGGAATTAAAATGTTAATTAAGGGTGCCGACAGAGGTCACAGCAGCAATTTTAGGTGTGTCTTGTCTACCATTGGAGGAAAAAAAAAACAATTTGGTTCAAATGGAATACATGTAGTCTGGTTAGAATCCGTCAAAGCATTTCATGAAGTGTTAAGGAAACAAATGTAATGCAATCTATAGTAGGCATGATGAGAATATATCGTGTTGAACATTTGGTCAAATGATTTTAACATGTGCTCGTGTATTCTATCATGTACATCCCAAAATTGACATTACACTGTTCAACTATAGCTTGGAGTGTGATTGGAAAATCCAGCAAAATTCAATATTAGCAGATTGGTGTTTAATTTTTCTGTTTTGTGGGAGAAAATTGTTGTAATTCCAGTTGACTGACATTTCTGTTCGAACTATTATTTTTTTGCAATTTCCTGTTGAAGCATAAGAACTTAACCCTGTAACTCTCAAGATCTCATTAGTAATTCTCCATACTGTCTGCCATACAGTTCTAGTGATGTTAGTTTGGAGAATTTGGTATTGAATCAATTTCTAATTCCTTAATTTATATTTTTCTTTATGCTCATCGCTTGTCTGCTTGATATTGTATTGAAAGATATTATAAAGAGAAATTGTGTCTTGGTCACCCATGAGAGGTAGAGGGTTGTAACTTTTATCACTTGTTTCATTACAATACTCTCTATTTAATAAAGGAAATCATAAGTCTTAGTAGACCAGTTTCTGCCTAAAAGAAATGACAAAAAAAATGAAGTATTAAAAAAATGTCTAACCCTGCCTATTTTCCCTTGGTTTTTTATTGCACTGAGAGTTATAATTTTTAGGGAATTTTATTTTATGTGATTTAATCTATGCAGAAAATTGTTTTTTTTGATAATAAACTTGTCACTCCCAAGATCTCATTTTTAGTTCTCTTTACTGTCATCAATGCAAATATCATGATGTTAGTTTAGAGAGTTTGGTATTGGATCAAATATTAATCCCCTAAATGCAATTGATATCTTTTCTAGTTTCTCATTATTTGTCTGCTTAATATTGTATTGTCGTAGGAGAAATTATGTCATGATCACTCAAGAGAGTTGAATGGATAAAAGACAATCTGCAATAAAATGTATGATTGTTTACAAAACCAATGAAAATCCTTGAGATTTAACCCTTTAAACCCTAAGAGTGATCAGGATCTAATTTCTCCTTACAGTAATATTACTAAACCATTCATTAAGATCATGAGAATAAAGAAAATGATCACCAACTTAAGAATCATTGATCTTCAAATGAATTCTCCTTGTCAGTAGTTAAGGAAATTTATAGAGAAGAGTATGAAGAATATGGATACTGATGTTAGGGTTTAAAGGGTTAAAGGTGAAACAGAAGTTCAAAACTACTTTTGTAACCTTTAGGTATGGTGCAGGGCAGTTAAAGGTGATGTGTGTTGGTGGACCAAATGTCAGAAAAGATTACCATATTGATGAGGGAGAAGAGGTAAGTTAATAAAGAACTAACAATGATTATATCATCTCCTGATATTAGTACTTTACTGCTTTAAAAAAAAACATATGAAAGAAACAGATGAGATCTAAACACCTCCAATTCTGCTCTAACAAAATGCTATTAGCAAACTGTGCCAGACAAATTTTTTTTCCTCTATGTATTATGGCAGCTATTTCAGGTCCAGAAGGTTTTGTACTAGAATTGGCTAAGAAGCAACTCTCGGAAGCCTCAATTTTGATACACTATCCATAAAATTGGTTTTGAGAATAGGCTGTTTTTCTCAATTAACCCTCTAACTCCCAAGATCTGATTGTTGACTCTCCCCTGCTACACCTTTCCCTGTAAGTGAAATACAAGAATCTGGTGTGAGATCAAGATAACAACTCCTAACTGATATGGTTGTGTATTCTTATGACCTCTTTGCAGAATATTTTATAGATTTATTAGGGAGAAATTACCCATTAATCACTTCAGGAAGTTGAAAGGTTACTCTCTTAAGGGCTGGTTGAGACATCATACCCTATAAGAATAATCTTAGGATATTTCTTCACAATGTATTTGAAAAGCAACATTTTTAGGCAAATGAAGATTGATTGTGATCTGTTATAGAGAGTATCCTGATGTAAAATCAAATTTTCTTTACGAATTTGTAACAAAATATCTTGCTGAGCTAGAAAGGAGGATGACTGACCGTTTCTTCAATGTCTTGCTAGTTCTTTTACATGGTTAAAGGAGACATGAACTTGAGGATTATTGAGAGAGGAAAACCAAAAGATGTAATCATAAAGGAGGGAGAGGTATACTAAACTCATTTTATAAATAATGAGAACAAGTTTTTGATAAATATAATTTGATAGAAATGATATTTGATGATATTTTCTTTACAACTATTTTGTAGGTCACAGTTTTCTTGGTTAAAGGGTCTTCAAACCAATGTGATTTTTTCTTTGTCCTCAGTTAATTATTGAAATCTTGAAAAAGGAAAGATGATGGTGACAACAGTTTAAAAATTAATTGGAAATAAAGGAAAAATTTGAAGCACAAAATATTTGGTCCTTTGTTATATTTATTGTTAAGGAAAACTTAAAGCAGTAATTTAAAGCAACATTATTGCAGTTTCTTGATCCCAAATTGGCATTCTCTTTGCCCTGAACCATCCTAGTTGGTTTTATCCTGCAAATTTAGAAGTTTGGAATAAATTCAATAATATTTTTTTCAGGTCTTTGTGCTCCCAAGCAGGATACCACACTCGCCTCAACGGAAGGAGAACACTGTTGGATTGGTATGGTGCTAGTTGATGCTCTTGTGTTTTTGTCTACTTTTTAGTTCAGAGTTAAACTTGTTAGGATCCCAGTGAGCCTTTGAGGACTTTTTAAAGATGTTTCCTAACCCTTAAATTTCCAGTGATTGGGTTTGGATCTAGGAATTAGTGATAGGAAGGTTCAAAATTTGATTCACAAAACACAGAAATTTATTATATACTTTAGGTTGAGTAGGCTATGGTGTAAAATTACTCATGGGATCTTGGAAGTGAAAGGGTAAATAGAGAAGATATCCTGCCTTTTAGGTCATTGAAAGAGAGAGACTTCCTGAAGAAACTGATGGTCTAAGGTATGATGTGATGCACTCATGTTCAGTGCAATTAATAAAAATATAATATTGAAGAACAGCTCCCTGAAAAATCTGTTGGCTGACAGATAACTAACGAGCCACTGACAATCTACCGCCAGGTTACTAATTGGTGATATGATCTAGCATTAACATCCAAAGCAAAACTTTGACTCTACTTTATATCTACCTTAAAATGTTGAACATACTTTGCATGTGTTGTACCACTTATAAAGTGAGTTGATACCAACTGTCGGCTGTTGGTTGGCTGCTTGTTGGTGAATAGCTGAGCTTAAAACTTTCAGCCAAGGTGGAGTTGTTCTTCACAGTTACTGATAAATGCACAAGCAAAGCAACCTATGGAGTAGCATGACAATTTTGAGGGCTTTAATTTCTTTTGGATTTTGCAGATTTTCTTTGACTTGAAGTTAGTTTGGACCATCAGAAAAAATGGCACAAAATGAAATGTCACAAAAAATTTACCATCTTTTGTCAAATTAAAAATTTTGCATACAAGTCAAGTATCAACTAGTTGAATTCTTTACCATGGGATTAATTCAAAATATCCATCTTTTAATTATCAGCCATATAGCTCCCCTATGTATTGTTCAACAAGTTGGAATCCCATTACAGCTATTTGTGCATGTCTTTTAGAGTTGTTTTCTCAGTAACAAAATCATGAATGTAAATGTATATTTATCAAAAACTTGTTCTCATGTAAAGGTATTTTTGTGACGATGGTGTGACACCTCTTTGGGAAAGATGGTTTCATTGCGAAGACCTTGGTACGCAGCTGGGACCAATCATCAAGTCGTAAGCAATAAATCAAATATATTCTGTTCCATGTACTTGAATATTCTGAACTTTGCAATGGGCCTCGCTCTTCATAGAGTCTCAGTGGCTCAGTGGTAGAGCATTATTATGTGGAATCTGAAGGTCTAAGGTTCAATTCCTGATTGGGACTTAGAGTTTTCTCTTTGTCCCTTGCTCACGGCAAGATCAAAAACATCTTTCTCTACTTGAATGTTGTTACTAAACAATCATTATGGTAATTGAACTGAGTGGAGTGCAGTTAAGTCTGAAATCAAATCCATGATTTCAAAATTGAACAGTTGTGCAGGGCAAGCTTTATTTATAGTCACAAGTTTCATACCAAAATTGCACAACAAAGTTCAATTACCACATTGGTACTTTTTTTTGAAATTCCAAAATTCAGTCACTCCAATACATGTAATTTAGTCTGCACAAATCTTTTATTGATCAAGTATTGAGCTGGTTTGTAAAAAGTTGCAAAAATTGTCATCATTTTTCTGCAATTTGATTGGCTTTTCTAAACAAGCCTTCAAATCTGATTGGTTGTTGTATTTTAATAAAACTGTCTCATTGACTGGGAAAAAGATGAAATTCAAAGCATGAAATGGTGTGATTTGTGAATAAATCATATGGATAATAACCAATCAGACTGCAAAGGTTATCAATGATTTTTAAAATGGATGTAATAAATGTTGTCAATTTACGTATGTGGTGCAGTGATTACAGCTTTTAAAAGCATTAAAATGCTTTTGTTGTCTGTTTATTTTCAGATACTTTTCATCAGAAGAATACAAAACAGGAGTCCCAACCTCTGGTTTGTAGAGATGATTTTTAATGGGATTTAGATAGAATTTGTTTTATTTAAAAATGTCCTGAAAAGTTTTTCTGTCTATATCTATTCAAGCCACTGGTCACTAATGCATCTAGAAATTTACTTTTGGTGAAAACAAGTTTAATCCCTAACCCACCAGTTAGCACATAGTTCTTAATTCTTGTCAATGTTCTTTGTGTAAACCAGCTCTCAAGAAACCAAATCTTTGTAATTTTATTCTTCTAAATTCACCTGGTTATCTTTTACTAATAGAAATATATTGTATGCAAAGAAAAATTTTTTAAACCATTTATTTTAGTGCTTTGCTGCAAGGCAAAAATTTTATGAATCAGACCTTTTGGTAACCAAATTGTTCTCGTGGAGATTACAACAAATATTTTTAAATACCACTTGGCACCTTAGAGAGAAAGTTAATTTCAGAACCTGCTATAGTTTACCATGCAATAGTTGAGATGTAGAGCTGCATGAAAAATTTTCTAAGTTCATTTACTATGTTTGTTTAATTTTTGTTGTTGTTTTTTTTTTGACCTTGAGAAATCCTCCTGGGGGAATGGTCAATTGGCAATTACAAGATTTAATGATTTATAATAATTTAGAGACTGATTGTTCACAATCATTGTGCCATTTTTCTTTTTTTTTCGGAATGAATAGAAAATGTTTCCAAGGATCCTCCTGTCAAGGTTGACCTTGAAACTGAAGTCAGTGAACCCTTTTCACTGAAAGAGGTACACATGTTAATTTTATTATGAATCACAGACTCTAAACTTGGATAAAAATTTTAAGCAATTGTAACATGTCTGGGAAATCGTAGTGCCTTTTATGATTCAAACCTCAGAAATTATGATTTCACAATCACATGTACATAATATTATGTTAATTTTACTCTCACTGTGAAAATGAAGAAAGACTTCAAACAATTTTGAAAGTTTAGGGAAGCAAAAAAATTTTGGAGTTCCATAGGTTAACTAATAACACAGCAACCTTCATCACACTGAGTGGTTTTCTCCTATTTTTTAGTGGATTGCTGAACATAAAAGTGACATTAAATGTGGAACAAAGGAGCTGTTTGGTAAAGGAGAGTTCAAGGTGAGTGCTTAACTTATGTTTTGCACTCGCTTCTTTGTTTTGGCCTTTTTTTCCAACCAGATTCCTCTCCTTTAAAACCCTTTGATCCATAAGAGTTACAAATCTAATTTCTACTTACACTACCACCCTGAATCACACATTAAGGTAACCATGATAAAGGAAATGATCACCAGTTTAAGAGGCTTTTGATTGTCAAACAAATTCTCCTTGTCAGCACCATCAAGAAATGTATAGAGAATGGTATGAAGAATATGCATACTGATGTTAGGGTGTAAAGGGTTAAGAGACCAGTGCTTTATTTTTTATCAGTGAGAAGGTATTCACAGCACTCAGATACCTTTTCGTAATAGTATATGGTGTTTTGACCTGCCTTACTCAGGGCACTTTGTGGTTTCTCATTCTTTTGGGCTGTATTGTCTAATGATATGTGCTGGTTCAAGCTGTGATATCAGTTAGTCTTGTCACGGGAAAGTAATGAGGACAACTTGAAGAAAAGCAAGGGTGTCTATTACAAGTGCAAAACTACCTGTCAAGAAAACTGGTGCATTTTTTTCTCATTGCAATAGTTTGCTGTGTAAAGAAGAGAAAAATCTAAAAAATTTGTTTGTCAAATGCACTGAAATGGGCTTGTTAACGAGTTCATACTGGTCATCATTAAGTTCTATATTGGTTTACAAGGTTAGCATCAAAGAACAAAAACTATAATCTGAATGAACTTGTATTCATGTTGGGCTGCAATCATCAAAGGATGCCATGAATACTTTAACCCTTTACTCCCTAACATCAGTATGCAGATTCTCCATACTACTCCTGAGACATTTCCTAGGGTTTTGACAAGGATAATTTTTGTATCAACAGTCAAGAGGTTCTTTAGTTGGTGATCATTTCCTTTATTCTCATGACCTTGATGTTTGATTTAGGGGTGATCTTGTGAGGGAAAATTAGATGTTAATCACTCTTAGGGGTTAAAGGGTTAGGAGACTCACATCTGGTCTCACCTCTGTACATAAACTTGAAGGCTTTTGTTTTCATGATCAATACAAATGCTAAGTCTTACTTGTTTCTTTATTTGGTGTGATTTTACTTTCTTGTAGATAAATGTTCATGGTGAAGGGGAACAAACTGGTGAATGGCAAGGGGAAACATGGCTTTATCAATTGGTGAGTGTTCATATGTTGTTCATGTTACAGAATGTTACTTTGTGAACAAAATATCCTACATGTTTCTCATTTGAATTAATGAGCCCAAGCTTGTCTAGGAAATTTGAAGGAGTGCATAAGGAGAAGTCATCACTCAAGCCTAGCAGCTAATTCAGCGAGAACATATTCCAGTTCTGCAAGTAGGATTGTTAATATTACCTCTTGAGTGGGATGCCAGTTCATCACAAGGTTACCCTACCCCCAACTCCAGTATTTCATCAGGTTTCCCTAACAATTCACCAGTACCCATTTGTACTCCTAGGAGGAGAGAGGAAAGTGTTTTGCCCAAAAACACAACTCAATGACCCACCCAAGCCTTGAGCCTGGGCTTCTTAACCCAGAATCCAGCACAGCAACCCATAGGGGAGAATGAACAATCAGATCGTGGGAATTAAGGAGCTATTTACATTTTTTTTTCAGGAGGGAGATACAACTGTCTCATTAAACGGTGAAACAAAAAAGATTTCCAAAGATGATGTTCTTCTCATTCCATCGGGTGCTAAGTGAGTAACATGACTTTTCTTCTTTTTTTCTTTTGCCTTTTTATTTCCTATTGGCCCAGTTAATTTATATTTGTGAGTTAATTACATTTATCACTTTATCAATTTCACACACTTTTATTGCTTATTTTCTTACATATTTGCAAGATATTCCTTTGACCCACAGATAGCAAATGCTAATCGAGGCGGGTCATTTATTTATTTTCTCTTTACTGACTTAATTAAATTACACTGGAAATAAAATGGAAATGAAGAAATATAACATAAAAGGACAAAAAGATACACAAGAAAAGAAAAAAGGAAAATGACAGATGTTTATTGTAAAGGAGAAAAAGTCCCAGAGTTTCTAGGTGTACAAAAAATATTGTAGAACTGGTTCAATTTAATTCAATTTTGCTGTGTTTGAATTTTAGCATTTTTTCAAGATACATTTTCCTTGGAAACTCTTTATCAATTCAGTGATTAATTTTTTTTCATTTTGGCCTGCAGGTACACTGTGAAAAGATCCAAAGGTTCAATTGGTCTGAGTGTTGTTATGGACCCAATGGCTAACAAGTAAAAACATGCTTGGCTGTAGTATAGAGGAAGAATTCAAAAGAATGTCTTAACCTTTACACTCTGATATCAGTATGCAAGTTCTCTACACTTCTCTATACATTTCCCAAGGTACTTTACATGAGAATTTGTCTAATAATCAAAACCTTCTTTAGTTTGCAATCATTTGGCATGACCATATTGTTTGATTTAGTGGCAAATAGAGAAATGAAATGCTTATTACTTGTAGGACTTGATGGGTAGAGATGCTTCACCAATTCTCTCTTCTCAAAACTCATTGTGATCTTTTGACTCACGAGTGAATAGACAGATAATACGAATAACGAAGAAAATCAACCTGGGGATATTTTTTTTAAAAAAACAAAATTCTGTTTACCTCGCATTGAAGAAATGTTTGGTATTAGTGACGAGAATTTGATATCAGATATCAAGGGGGAAGATAGTTAGGATAAAATATTGCGTAGCAATGTAAGGTATTGGTGAGGATAATTTAATATCAGATCTCAAGGGTCAGGAGTTTAAATAAAAATATTGCGTAGCAATTTAAGGTATTAGTAAAGATAATTTGATATCTATTGGTCGCCACACATTACCTATTGAATAAGTACGAGAGTTTAGTCTTGTTTAAAGGTAACACCATCTGGATGATGAATTTGTTTTCTCTCGTTACTTTTTCAGGAAGTGATGTTTTGATATTGTAGGGAGAAATTTCAGGTTAATGATCTCTGGGAGTTGAAGGAGATCCGGTTCCCAGAACTCAAACGTCAAACGCTTGAGTAGAACTTAAGAATAACTTTTTTGCTGAGGGTTGAGGAAATGAAAATGAAAGGGTGGGAAACGGTTTAACTGACTTTTCAAGGGAAAGTAATTTTTAAGGATGCCTCAATACAAGAGGGACCTGCTGTTTATCATAAAGCAGTCAAATTTTTTTCATTTTTATACTTTACGGAGACTCAACCCCTGGGAAAACTTTTTTGAAGGGTTCTTTTTTACATATATTTAAATGGATCATACTTTTGTTATGAACAAGAGAAACCTACTGTTTACTCGGGTCCTAAATAGAGTGCCAAAGTTTTGAAGAATTTTTTTTAACTTTGAGTTATATTTGACTACTGTAACATTGTTAAAAAAAAATGGAAATGATTCAGTTATTCCTTGTTGGATTATGTTGTACCACCCTGAAGGATCAGTTGCGACGTGTTGTAAATGTGAGTGCTTTTAGATTAGTCCAGTATCGTAAAAGCAAAACAAAAGTTCTCATATTTGCGAATCAGAGCGCGGGAGAATATCACCAGGAACCAATGAGAACTCAAGGGCAGCAAAACACGATTGACCAACTCGCTAGTGATTTTGGTTTGAATCTGATTGGTTGAGAAAGTGGCGCGAAATATCCAGACCAATCACATAGGAGTAAGGCAAAATCAAAGTGTTCCTGGATTACTTTTGACTTTGAACACTTTTGCTAAATTTTCTGTTACCACTTTCGTTTACTCACTTCTCTTCCGTACGGCCCAATAATTGTTAAGCTGTTCTTTTGCGAAATTTGTATCGTTAATTTACCTCCACGGTTTCTTTATTAATTTCCATGGGCGTATGAAATGTTAAATCTTCTTTTTTCTATACTTGTGATATGTCGCGTGTGGGAGGCTGACGAATCCTCTTATTTTGGAACGAAATGAGTTGGGAAGAACTGACCGTTGAAAGGAATAATTATATTGTGCGAATATCCGCGAGATAATAGCGCGTTTGATATTCCCAAGAGCTTAAAATCAAAGGAGTTGAACCCTGGTTTTATCATAGGTGGATGTCTTAAATTAGCTCTGGTTTAATTATTAAACTTAAGAAATGTAAAATGGTTTCCGTGTTTACATAGCCTGATGTAAACACGCGGGAGGTTGGGAGAACACGAGATAAGCGTAGGAAACCACGACGCGATTTCCATTTTACATTTCTTTTATAAAATAACTAATGAAAGAGGAACGAAAACCGTGTTTACATACGCTCATGAAAAATGGTTTTATGGCCAATCAGAGTGCGTGTACTATTTGAATTATTTGATAAATTGTATTAAAACACTGGTAAAGAACATGAATTGTGATATGTCACGTGCGGGTGGCTACACAATGATATCGAACGAACTTGTTTTGCTTTCGACGTCCATCAGCGTGTCGAAGCCGTTCCGTGTGATTTGAAATCGTGTTTCAAACCTTTAATACAAATGCTAGAGCTAGAAACAGTTTCCAACTATCCTCTTCTCTTCTGTTCACACTGTGCAGATAATACTGTTTTTCCTTTTCCCTTTGTGGCGTGCCTGCACAGCGCTTAGGCCTCGATGAAGGGGGAGAAACTCCATCCGTAACCAGAACAGTGGAACAACGTAGTATATAATTTATGGGAGAATCCTCAAGTTTTAAAAGACATCGACTCCAAATGTTCCTCGACTCGTTGCTTTCTGGTCTAGTTTAATCTAGTTTTTTGTGTGTATAATCGACTTGCGCCTGTTATTATGCTTAGCGAGCTTGCGGGCAAGAAAAGACGCCATATGAAAATTTGAAATTCTTAATTCGGCTTGAAATTCTTCGAATTCAACTAAATGTTTCGTTCGCCACACACCTCCTCAAAAGTGATGATAACGGAAAAGCAAGAGTCATCTACGGAGAATAGGCAAGGGCCTAGTAACAAACGAAAGATCAAGTCAAATCGAAGTTTTGAGACAGCGCGTGATGTGTTGTGTCGATGGGCGTTCGTTGTGGGTCATAACTTCCAAAGAGCTGACTTTGTAATGCTTTGTTTCAAGGTGAAAAAAAATCGATATTATCTAAAGTAATTCAAGAATGAAACTAATTTGTTCCTGTGTACCTGTCACCCTTACAAGTCGAAAATTACTTGATCGTAGGATGATATGACTCTGATGTAGAACATATTGATTCATTTTGTGGAACAAATTCACTCTCATTTGGAAAGATACGACTTCGAGTGAACTGACCGTGGAAAGGGTGATCGGATACCGCAATTATCAGAAAGAGTAAGTGCCTTAATTTGCTTAAGAGCCTAAGATCAAAAGAGCCGAACCCTATATTTATCATGGGTGGATCTCATAGAAAGTCGTTTTATATTATCTCTGGTTTAATTGTTAAACAAGGTTTAAGACATTGGTTAAATGAACCATTTCAGAAGCGTCAAAAAACACATACGTCACGGTGCAGCCTTCTACTCAACATCAGTGGACCTTGAACAAGGGATAATTTCGAACAAAGGATGGCTGCACGAAACCTTCTTAGCTGTTAATACTTCGCTTGGGGCGACTGGAAGCTTCAGAATGAATTAAAATCATTATATAACGAACTTGAAATGAGTGACAAATATATCGGGATTTGCCTTTATACAAACAAAGTTCTTTCTGGGGGTGAAGAAACAGATGACCACGACGCAAAAAAAAACACGCTATATCACTACCACTGGACTCTACAAAACGAATTCGTTTTTCTTCCTTGTAAAGCAGAAAAGATGAAAAAGCGAAACTCTTGCGCTGGTTTTTTCGACGAAATAATCGGAGGACAAAGATCGACGAATATTGCGTGATAAGTGTTCGGTGATTTTGTACCACGTGATAAAAAATAGCCAATAGAAGCGCGCAAAATTAATGGAAGGGCTCGTTAGGTTGTTAGTTAGAAATGGTAATCCTAAGATGATGATAAATAACTCCTTCAGCGTGCGCATTGCTTCATTAGAAGAATCGATACCATAACTGAAATTGGGGCTTAGCGATTCAATAAACTGATGACCACACGGGCCCAAAGGATTGAATGGACCAATTCCTTCAGGTTCTCCAAAATGTAAAGAAAGCCGACTTCTTTCTGAGAACTTTAATTGTGAAAAACAAAAGATCAGGATATAAACTAAAATTTGCTTCTAGGGTAACTTAAAATTAATTTACTCTCCGCGGGCTTTCACCAAAAATCCGTTGTCCCTTTTAAAGAAGGAAGGCTTGCAAACTTTCCTTCGATTGTCTCGTTTTTTTGCGAAGGATTTTTTCGTTTGAGATGACTTTCAACAATTTCAAATAATCTCGAACTATCAACTGTTACCCCTCGGAGAAGAAGACACTTCTCCCCTCAGTAAGAAAACAGTTGCCTTTCATTCTGTCTTTGCGTGCATGAAACATTGTGTCTGTCGCAATGCAGACAAGAGCTGGAAAGGAGTATTTGCATAATCGGTTGTGTCGAGCTAATTCTACAAACCATTGATTTTCGTCAGAAAGATTTCACTGTGTATCAGTGAACTCCATTTCCGCCTTTCTAAGAATGTGCGTAGTGAATGGAAAGTCACTCAGTTTGAGTACTTCGAAGAGGAAACATCACAAATATTTCAGCCTGCTCAGAGGTAAGTTCTCCACTAATCGTCGGCGATTTTTGCAGCTTTTGATGGCGCAGCTCATATCAATTCTCTCTTATAATTTTGTTCAATTACAGTTTTTTTGCGCAGTTAGTTTGATTAGGCCGAGATTTTCCTTTCTCGAGTTCATCACCAAATATCCTGCCCTAAAAATGAAAAACGCGTACAAATCATACATTTTCCTTACCATTAGCCATCCACTGCTTATGGTGATGGTTCAGAGAATTTAGTATCAAATTGCAGCACCCTTCAAATGGATATTTTTTCTTTGTTTTCACTACTTATCAGCTCGATATTTAAAGTACTGATACTGTAAAGAAAAATCGATCCATCTTTTCCACTTCTGGGAGTCAAGGATGGAATGAAAGATCATTCCTACGATGAGTAAAGCAAATTTGGATTCTATCGAAGAGGTCTAAAATAAATTAGGGCATGGAAAGCGAATCATTTGGAGCAGTCTCACGCGATGTGAGCGCGAGGGGCGAGTCTCACACTCGCGTCAAACATGAGTCACACACACGCTTCACCCCCACCCTACGCTCGTTTACGCTCAGCTAAATGTGCAAATTTTAAATGCGACCAGTGCGGTATAAAGCTATATCCTAATGACGTGTTTTTTTCTGACAAAATATAGATCAGATTTTCCATTGTTTTCACTTGAGATTCAATAACCCTCTTTCTGTTCTATTCTTCTCTTATTTGAGTAACATGCACACGATGGTTTCTTTTCTAAGAGGTTCTGGTTTTACCATGGTGATCTTCGACGCCTAATGGAAAAGCACTCATCCAAATCCTTTACTGAACTCAACTAATCTACTCGTGTCAAACCGTCCGTGGAACAAATTAAAAATTCCTGAATCGAATTAAAAGTTAATTAGACCTTAATGCCGGTGCCAGAAACAACTGGCACTAGAAGATTGAAATAATAATAATTGCTCGAGACTAACCATCGTTATTCTTTGCCCATTTCTAGACTCCAACAATCCGTCAAGTAAAAATAAATTCTTGGGTATAATTACCGTGTAACTGACTTAAGACATAATTACCGTTTAAACATGAATCATGACTCTTGGGCACACTGGAGGCAAACCTGATGTCTGAGAAGGAAGTCACTCTATTTCTTTCGTTGTGAACATGAACTTCAAGAGTGATAAACTCAAAACGACAGTGATTTCGAACATTTTTGTTGTTGTTTACAGGACCCTTAAGAATGGCTCAAACTGGATTGATTCTTGTTCCTTTACTCCTGTTGTCCATCGTGATTCTAGTTAAGATTTCCTAATATGCAAATCTGTAAATCAAAACCTGGAACATTTTATAGTGTAGTGGACAAGGGACGGGAGCCTGGGAAAATTAGAGCCCGGAGGAGTACTGGGATGAGAAAGGAAAAGGAAGGAATCGGAAAGAATGCGACAGAAACCACATCATCACAAGAGAGATACCCCAACACTAGCACCACTACTGTAAGACCCAAATTCCCCGATCTTCTTGTCGTTAATGAATTCGTTTTCTTAATTATTATCTTAGTGCAGAGCAGATCTGCAGAAATCTGTGACTCAGAGTCAGAAATCCAGCACCTTGCCACAAAAACCCTACCTACTACAGGAGCCGCATGGTCAAAAACAGTGCAAATAACAACGTGTTACCCCAATGACCGGCACAGGAAAACACAATGTAGATACCGATGCGAAACTTTTTGCAGGAGTTCAGCCAAATGGAGAGATTGCATAGCCTTCGCATCGCAGGTTAAAGCTGATTACAACTCAGATCGCCTTTGCTGGGGATACAAATCTCTCCCCTCCTTTGGATCTGATGTTTCAATTGGAGAGGCCACTTACTTAAATGGTTGGTGTGTATCAGAATTTTTCAGCAATGGGATGACGTTTTAAGTGCCCAGACTCCAGTCCTCTCCGCTCCGAAGACATTTAACAAGGCTTCTTGGCCGCCAGCTTAGTCAAGTGTCTAACTTAAGTGCAGCATGTGATTCGTTTAATAAATTTGTAATAATAATCGAGTTGGGAATTGATTAGATCTGTCTTTGTTCTGCATCACTGTTTATTTAGTAAGGCTGCTTATCAAGATAAACAGAGTTCAAGTGTACAATATAATGCTGGTGTGTTATCTCACTTGGTACCTAAACTAGGAAAGGTTACGTAGGAATTAGGTGCGGACTAAAATGAATAATCGACTGATAACTGAAACTTGTTTGTCTCAGTCTCTTAACAAAGACTGGGAATTGCTATAGTGGACTCAAATAGTCCAACATTGAAAACTAAGCACAAAAATACAACTTTCCCAAAAATCCTTGAAAAGAAACCACATTCTTAACTAATGGAAATCAAATTTCCTTGATTTTCTCTGTTTGTGGAAAATTTAACCAAACCTTATCTTATGTGAGAGATTTAGTAAACTGTACAGGAACCAAGGATGTTTGTTTGTAATACAGGAGAGTTGTTATGTATGTATTTACGTGAGTAATATTTTAAAAATACCCTGCACTTCCAATGATCATCATCCTCAGTCCAAGAGGCGAAGCCACAGTGACAACTGATGGGTACTTGGCATACAACTTCACACATTTTTTCATGACTGAAATTCCGTTCCTAAAGTATTCATCAATGTTCCCTGCAAACACCTGATTTTTTCATTCTTAATTCTCCATTCTTCATTCTCCATTGCGCATACCCCATTCCCAATTCTTGACTCTCTATTCCCAATTCTTCGTTCTCTATTCTCCATTAACCATTTCCCACCGCCCATTCTCCGTTTCCCATTCTCCATTTCCCATTCTCCGTTTCCCATTCTCCATTTCCCACCCTCCATTTCCCATTCTCCATTTCCCACCCTCCATTTCCCATTCTCCACTTCTCATTCTCCATTTCCCACCCTCCATTTCCCATTCTCCATATCTCTTTCAGTCACATTCCTCCGTAACCATTGGTAACTCGCGTAACTCTGGTTTGTGTCAAGCAATAAAGGCACAACCACCTCCCTTTGGTTCTCCGTGAGAAACCAGCCTCTCAAACAGAATTTAGTGAACAGTTGATGAATTCCCATCAACTCATTAACAAGACGTGAACTGTGTCACTAACTGATTTACATCAGGATGATTTTGTGGCAATTATGCACCCATTTTCGAGAAAAAGGAAGAACCAAATAAAAGCTGAAACAACTCAAGGATTTACATGAGAAATAAATTACCCTGTGTGTCAAAGAGTTCGTACGAAGAAATACGCAGTCGATAGAAATTCTATTTTAGTGAGACGAGACTTGTAGACTAAAAAAAACTGTAAATGAAAAAAACCGCTTAAAAAACTATAAAATTAAGTCGCAAGTTTACCATGAGGCATTCTGTCTGTTCTAATGCATATCAAAAGTATTCAAACTCATGTTTTCGCAATTTTCTGAAGAAGGTACGCATTTTAGTGGCAAGTTTATTCCGCGCCTAGAATCTCGTTTAAATAAAAAAAATGAGATTGGACCGGTGTTTTTGTTCTAACTGTTTTAATGCACCACATTCATAATTTTTTACTCTCATACGTGCAAAAAGCGTTCTTCACAGTCTGGATTGTGCGCTCATCAGTTATATGTATAGTGGGTTAATTTTTGACACGATGATTTCAGTGAACTAAACTAAAAAAATTGTATTCATTGTGCTGTGCGGAGAAAATAACTTAGAGACAATACTAAGAATAAATCTATGAACGAAACTAATTTATAAAATGCTAAAACTAGGATAAAGGATGCTGGCATTGTCCACGTTTTGTTTTCAAGGAAAACGTAAGTTTGTCTAGTTTTCTAGCTGCAAGGGGCGAAAGAGGCCAAATGGAATTAAAAGCCATCTTTTGATTATGCTTATCACAGAACGGATCCTTGATCTTAGACAAATAGGCGTCCATACGATAATCAACCGACAGAAAAATCATCTGAAGATGGTCTAAAAAATTTTCCCAAACAGAACTGAAAAGGACGAATGTTGTTTTATCAACGCATTCACCTCGGCAGTAATGATAGAAATATTTTCGACCGATAGGCTCAGAGTTCTTCGACTTTTTCCAGTGATGCACTTCCTCTCAAAGCGAATAATTATGTTTCCAATAATTGATTATGTCCACTTAACCAATCAAGAGCGCCTTCATCGGAAGCCTTTTTTCACCTGGTGTTATTGTTTTAGTTCTCGTATGAAGAGTCGTGTCGCATGTGCGGTGGCTTTTGCCACGCTACGTGACGCATAAGGGTCTATGTTTGTTTCCAGAAGGTTTACCTTTAAAGTGATTGATCCTAAAAATCCTCAGCTTATCCTGAAGGTGATCACACTGGGATACCTGAAAGCCCCTTTGTGAACGTTTGAGGTGAGACATTTTGCTATGGCTTCACAATAGATTAACTGATGTTTTCGTTTTAGCACTCAGTTGTTTGGTGAGCATAAGAGAGTTTGATCCTGACGTCGACAACAACAGCAAATAGAAAAAAAATGAACTCTAGTTTCACTCCTCTTCTTATAATTCGCCGTCGGTCAACTTTTTAGGAAATATTGCAAGAAAAGTATCTTGTTCACGGTAAAAGCAGATGTCTTCATTTTCAAATATGAAAACGGCTGAAAGCAGACGACAAGAAGTTTAATTTTTGTCACGCTTTTTCCGTCTGCCGTAAGCGTTATGCATAACCTTTTCAGTCCTTCTAAAGTTTGTTCAAGGAAACGATAATTCGTTCATCAGTGTTGAAGGCTAAAATAAAAAATGGAGCTTTCTGGAGTATACGACGTTTTTCTTCGAAGTAAACGCGTATTATGAAACAGAACAGATCAGACTTTCGACACTCGTATTTAATCGAAGAGTTCGTGTATCACCGATGGTAAGAGAGACAATTTCACAAAGTTATGTGAAAGAAACCAATGGTTTAAAGTTTTAACCACTGTTTTTTTTCTCTGCAGAAATAATTTTGCATTATTTAAAAATGTTCTAGACAATGTTTCAAATGGTGTAATTAAACAGCGAGTTACATGATGACGATTTCGACAATAATAGCAAACTATCAAGTGAAGCAAAGATTGCATTTTCTAATTTATTTATTCCAGGCCATGGCCTAAGAATGCGAAGAAGAGGCAGAAAGATTGAATACTCAGTGTTATTTCCTCTGCGGTGCCTTTTCCGCCTGTCAAATATGCAAAACTGTCATATGAACTATAGAAAATACGAAGTTCATTCGGTAAATAGAAATATATAAGCTTGAATCGAATTCAATATTCCTTGAAAGAGAATTTAGCGATTTTTCTAGCTTAAGTTGGTTACTCATGACCATTCCTCACTGAAATATATTTTGTAAAGTAGAAGGGTAGAAAAAAGTAAATCATATATGATTAAAACAACAAACTGTATATAAATAAGTGAGTAATATTTCATTCATTCGCTCAAACTCATCTGTTAGAAGTTTTCTTTTAAACAATGCAGAAGTACTGTTTTGTTTAAAAAGTAATGTAATTGAGCAAATAACTCTTCTGGTCCCTTTTATTAGTACATGTTTTGTCCGATAAATTGATGTTTTCTTATTTTTCTGCAATTTCAACAATGAGAGCGAGTTTTTAAACCCAGCTGCCTAGCTGCGATATTGTATTGTTTATCAACGATATGTTCCAGGCTCCCGGTCTCACTCTCGCTCTGGAGACGAGCGAAATGAAGGGGCAAAACAATGCCCAGAGGTTGTCAG